ATGTGAGGAGCATTGAGGCGGTACCTGGGGGGTGGGGACGGGGGGGGGACACAACTTGGGCGGGGCAGGGTGAGGGCTGACTGTTCAGCTGTGGAGGAAGAGTGTTTCCAGGTGGGGAAGGATGGAATGACTTGGCTCAGGCACCCAGCAACATGTCTGTGGGCCACAGCAATGCTAGACTTGGGGCTTAGCGGAGGCTCCTCCACACCACGAGGTCAACTGAGCCACTTGGGCACTCATGACCCGTACACTGTCTGACCCCAGGACAGCTGAGAGGGTGGAGGGCCTTCGCTCCTCTTCTTATTCTTGTCTTCATTCACTCAGAAAACAGTTTTTAAGTGCAGGCTCCATGCCTGGCACATGCTGGGGGCAGGGGAAGCCGGGCCACGTTGGCCCTTCCCTCATCCTTTTGCTTCTCCTGGGGCCCCTTCCCCCAGTTCCCTGATGGGGACAGAGAGGGCAGCTGCCCCACCCTTTGGAATTGGCACTAGTCTGCCTTTCTCAGTGTTTCCATTTGGGCTGGGTCTGCGGTGCCCTCCAGCGCCCCTCCCTGGAGAGGACAAGCACCACCTCCCAGGCGAGGCAGACACGTCAGGCCACCTGGAAGCTGAAGGGCTCAGATGGGTGCTCGGAGGGGGCAAGAGCAGGGCTGGGGTGTGAGCTGGAAAGGGAGGGCTGAGCATTGCAGGCAAAGGCCTGGGTGGGTGCATCTGACCTCGGAGAGACAAGGGAACTGCAGGCCTGGCCTGGCCTGCCCAGCAGGAGACTGGCCGGCTGGGCGAGGAGTCCTGCAGGAAGCTGCAGCTGCCATCTGTGGACTCCTGAGTTCTCAGGGGAGCTGCAGTCATTTATACCAAGACTAACCATGTCTGCTGAGTCACCTATGTGTCAAAGGCCACATTAAGTTCTTTCATCTCGAACAAGCTTCAGAGTTGAGCAAATTTGTAGATGCATAGACCATTTCTGGGAGGACACATAGGAAACCAGTGGTCATTCTCATTCAGCTTCAGGGGAAAATGAAGGCTTTATTTTCCACGTGACTGCAATTCTGCCTGAATTTTTTTTTAATTTTCATTTTCACCAGGACTGCTTATGACTTTTGTTATATAATATATGTAAAGCTTGAGGAGGAAAAGAGTACGCAGCTTGAAGATTGTAGTCACTTGGATATAGCACTTCGGGTCATCTTTTTTCTCCGAGTTTCCCTTTAAGGCCTGGTGATTATGTGATTTCCCTCTTCTTTACTCACTCCCCTAGGTTCTTCCCGCAAAGAGATAACAGAACACTGGGAATGGCTGGAGAACAACTTACTCCAGACGCTGTCCATCTTCGACAGTGAGGAAGATATCACCACTTTCGTCAAGGGCAAGATACACGTAAGGCTCACTTTCTCTTCTCTGTGCTGGCAGCACACGTTTATCTGAATGTATGTGTGTTTTCCTTTCTGTTCCTTAGGTTAGATTCCTAGCAAGACACTTCACGTATGCCAGCTTACTTCATTTTAACAACACAGCACTGGTCTTATCCCCAGTTTACAGAGGTGAAACCGGAGTGTCACTGCCAGTCCCTTGCTGTTCAAGGGGGCAGCTGAGCTGATTGCCCATGCAGTCCCATCTTCCCCTGACCAGCCACTGGAATGTGACTGAGTGGGCAGTTTCCATTCCCGCAAAGGGCCCAAGAGCAAGTATATGGATCCACAGCTGCCTGCCAGCAACTTGGCTGGCAGAGGAGGAAGCTGGAGGTGATAGTATAGTTGGAGGCATGTTTGTGTTTTAAAACTAACATAGAAATGCACAGACCCATGACCCAGCAATGTCATTCCTTGGAGTTGACCTTGCAGTGTATTTATTCATATGTGCAGAACTAGAGGTCCAGTGCACGAAATTCGTGCACAGGTGCGGTCCCTAGGCCTGGCCTGCGATCAAAGCGCAAGCATCTGGCGTGGAAGGGCAGCTCCCAGCTGGCCTCTGGGGCCTGGACAGCACCTGGGCCCCCACGCGCCCCCCTCTGCCTGAGTCACGGCACCCGTGTCCCCACACAGAGATGCGGTGAGCGCGGCCGGATGCTGCGGGCCGGGGCGCAGTGTGGGCCTCTGGGCTGCCCAGTGGCACTGCACAGAAACCGCACGGGCAGTGCACTCTCTCCTGGCCAGCCTCGCACACCGGCTCCTGTGTGAACCCACAGGGAGCCCGACCAGCCCCAGCGGCCTGGCTCACTGGAAGAGGCCGCTCACGTGCACACCCAGGTGCGGGCGCCCCGTACCTGAGCATGGGGGCTTCAGCAGTGCACAAGCCCTGGCATCCCAGGGGAGGGTAGCGGGGGAGTGAGAGCAAACTCGGTGGACACCCCGCATTCTCACCACACCTCTGTCCCCATCACCCCCACCCCCAGGTAGCCGGGCGAGAGGTTACAGCCCCCTGCCCGGGCGCTGTGTCACCGACACCCACCATGTTCCACGCCACCCTCTGGTGGTCAGCACATGTCATAGTGAGCGGTCAAACTCCTGGTCTCCCAGTCAAACGACCACCTGAGGGGACAATTTGCATTTTAGGCTTTTATTATATACGATGGCAAATGTGTCAGGATGTCCCCGCAACACTATCGCAAAAAGACTGAGCAGTGCCCCCCAGACCTATGGTCAGGGTAACAGCCACACTCTCCTTTGCAGAACAAGAGTGATGAAACGAGAGCACTTTCTATGTGAGTCCTGTGCTGAGCACTTATATTTGGGGCACTGGGTAAGTCACAGGTGGTGTACATAGTGGACTATCTTACAGCTATCAAAATAATAATTATGAGAATTGTAGCAACATGTAAAACTAGATACCATGGTGATATTTAGGTTGTTTCCTCTTGCGGGTAATTAACATGATAATGAGCATTTATCTGAATGTATGTTTGTTTTCCTTTCTGTTCCATTATTGCCTTAGGTTAGATTCCTAGCAGGGCTCTTACTGGATCACGGTTTCATGGTGCTGAGTTTGCCCTTGCGACTTTATTACACCACAACTTTTTAGACCTGGCAGAAGACATAAAGAGCTCCTCAGCTCTTCTCTGGGCACTTTGGAGTTCAAGGCAGGACCTGTGTTGCCTACTAGCTCCAGGGAAACAGGCAGAGAGCTAGACTCTAACAATGATAATAACAGCAACATTTTTATTTATTTTTAATAATTTTTTATTGATTTCAGAGAGGGAGAGAGAGCTAGAAACATCAATGATGAGAGAGAATCATTGATCGGCTGCCTCCTACACACCCCCTACTAGGGATCAAACCCACAATCTGGACATGTACCCTTGACCAGAATCGAACCTGGGACCCTTCAGTCCACAGGCTGTCACTCTGTCCACTAAGCCAAACTGGCTAGGGCAATAACAACAACATTTTTAAATGCTTCCTATATGCCAGACTCAAACAAACCAATCTACAAAATAGGAGAAGAGGTTCTAAATGACTCATGGGATGAAATGGAAAATAGAAAATAGTTTAGAACTGAATGATAATTGAAATACTACTGCATCTGAGAATTGATGGGATGCAGCAAAGCAGTACAGAGTAGAGAATGTAAAGGCTTAAACCTCACATAAAAGAACAAAGGGCAGAAATTAATGAGCCAAGTGTCCAACTCAGTAAGTGAGAATTCCAGAGAAACCAGGAAATTAGAAATAAGGAAACAACAAAGGGTAGAAGTTAATTCCGTAGAGAGCAAAGGAACTATAGGAAGAGCAGCAGACCCCAAAGAACCCACAAGCCCATGGTGGAGGGATCCAGGGCGGCAGGAGCCTCCTCTAAGCAAGCAGCCGTGAAGGTCTGTGAGCAGCACCTGTGGGGGACTGTGACAAGCACCTATATAGAAGCAGAATTTAAAGAAAAAGAGATAATGTTATAAATAGCTTTAAACCAGTAAATTTAAGAATGTAGACAAGCCCTGGCTGGTTTTGCTCAGTGGGTAGAAGTCAGCCTGCAGACTGAAGGGCCCCAGGTTTGATTCCGGTCAAGGGCACATGCCCAGGTTGTGGGCTCAATCCCCAGTAGGAGGCAGCCAATCAACGATTCTCTCTCATCATTGATGTTTCTAGCTCTCTCTCCCTCTCCCTTCCTCTCTGAAATCAATAAAAATATTTTTTTTTAGAAAAAAAGAAAAGAAATGGGTCTTATGAGCTAAAATCAAGGTGTCGGCAGGGCTCCCTTCTTTCTGGAGGCTCGGGAGAATGCGTTCATTTTCCAGCTTTTAGGGTTCACTTGTGTTCCTTGGTTCTTGACCCCTTCCTTCATCTTTAGTGCCAGCAGGGTGGCATCTTCAAATCAGTCAGTCACACACCCCCTATCTTATGCCCTCTGTGACCCTTGATTATAATGGGCCCACCCAAATAATCCAGGATAAGCTGCCCATCTCCAGAACCCTTATTTAATCACATCTACAAAGGCCCCTTTGCTCTATGAGGTCACATTTTCCCAGGTTCTGGGGGTTGGGGTGTGGACATCTTTGGGGCCATTATTTGACCTACCATCCTATATAATAAAAGGCCAATATGCTAAGTGTCCTGTCCAACCAATTAAAACATAATATGCTAATGATATGCTAAGGCCGCTCAACCGCTCGCTATGATGTGCACTGACCACCCAGGGGGCAGACGCTCCGACAGGTAGGTTAGCTTGCTGCTGGGGTCCAGCTGATTGGGACTAAGCAAGAGAGACTGGACATGCCCTGGAGCCCTCCAGCAGTCTCTCCCAGGCTGGCCAACCTCCCACATCCCTCCCAGCCCTCATCGTGCACCAGTGGGGTCCCTTAGCCTGGCCTGCGCCCCCTCGCAATCCAGGACCCCTTGGGGGATGTTGGAAAGCCGGTTTCGGTCCAATCCCGCAGGCCAGGCCTAGGGACCCCACTGGTGCACAATTTTGTGCACCGGGCCTCTAGTATAATATAACTTAACCCAAGACTCAGGAAAGAAGATGCCTAAAACTATGAAAGACATGGAATCAAGAATTTAAAGTTTAGAGAGAAACCAAGATGGCAGCATAGGTAAACACCCGAAATTGCTGCCTCGCACAACCACTTTAAAAATACAACTAAAAGACAAAACGGACATCATCCAGAACCACAGGAAGGCTGGCTGAGTGGAAATTCTACAACTAGAAGGAAAGAGAAAAGCACTGAGACTCAGAGGAGGTGCAGAAGTAAAGTGCAGAGGTACGGAGACACACATGGCAAGGGCTGGCAACTGAGGACACGGTTGTCTTTTTCAATCGGGAGGGAGACACAAGCTCCCAACTGCTCTGAATTCCAGATCCGGGTGAGTCTCTGGAGACCCAGACTCATACGGGGAGAAACTGGACTGTCTGGCATCGGGCGGAACTGGAGGGCGGCTTTCTCTCAGAGGTACTTGCAGTGATTACCGCGGGCCACTGAGACCCAGGACCTCTTAGGGCAGGGCTGAGGATCACCCATAGCTGTTTGCTCCGCCCTGTTGACTCCCTGAGACCCCGCCCCACCCAAGCTGTGCGCAGAGGCTTTTGCATATGAATGACCTGGCTCTTTGTAAAATTACCTAACAAACTGCAGCTGGGTCAGAGAGACCCAGAACATCCAAAAGAAGGCCCAAGGCCCCACAGCAATTTGCATTGCTTCACAGCTGGGCCTCATCTGGGCACCTCCAAATCCCAAACAAAGAAGAGGAAACTGCAGATCTCTCCATAGCTCCTGCTGGGTAGCCTCAGGTAGAGGCTAAACTAGCACCTCCTTAGAGATCCAAGTGCCAGTGTACCCAGTGGTCAGAGTGGGACCATCCAGATTACAACTCCTCAGATCCATAAGGGACACACTCAGGAGGCAGACTCAGTGAGCACCAAAGCCCCACTGAAGCAAGTCTTGCCCCGTAAGGGTGTCTCCAGCACAGAAGTTCTCCCACTATAGACACAGCTGATTCTCACAGCCAATTGGCCTGGAGGTCAATTCCTCCCAGTGATACCAACTACAATCAAGGCTTAACTACAACAAGACTGTGCACACAGCCCACAAAGGGGTGCACCAAAAGTGTCCACCTCAGGTAATCGGGGAGGCTGAGCCACTGGGCCCTATAGGACACCTAGTACACAAAGCCACTCTATCAACACCGAAAAGCAGCCAAAATGCGGAGACAAAGAAACAGGTCAGAAATGACAAAAATGGAGGAAAGCAAACTACTGGATATAGAGTTCAAAACCACGATTATAAGGTTTTTCAAGAATTTTCTAGAAACCACTGATAAATTTAGTAAGACCCTCAATAAGTCTAGTGAGACCCTCGAGGATATGAAAAAGGACCAACTAGAAATTAAGCATACACTGACTGAAATAAAGAATATACAGAGATCCAACTGCAGACTAGAGGATCGCAAGAATCAAGTCAAAGATTTGAAGTACGAAGAAGTAAAAAACACCCAACCGGAAAAACAAAAAGAAAAAAGAATCCAAAAATATGGAGATAGTGTAAGGAGCCTCTGGGGCAACTTCAAGTGTACCAACATCTGAATTATGGGGGTGCCAGAAGAAGAGAGAGAGCAAGATATTGAAAACCTATTTGAAGAAATAATGACAGAAAACTTCCCCTACCTGGTGAAAGAAATAGACTTCCAAGTCCAGGAAGTGCAGAGAACCCCAAACAAAAGGAATCCAAAGAGGACCACACCAAGACACATCATAATTAAAATGCCAAGAGCAAAAGACAAAGAGAGAATCTTAAAAGCAGCAAGAGAAAAACAATTAGTTATCTACAAGGGAGTACCCATACGATTGTCAGCTGATTTCTCAACAGAAACTGTGCAGGCCAGAAGGGAGTGGCAAGAAATATTCAAAGTGATGAATAGCAAGAACCTACAACCAAGATTACTTTACCCAGCAAAGCTATCATTCAGAATTGAAGGTCAGATAAAGAGCTTCACAGATAAGAAAAAGCTAAAGGAGTTCATCACCACCAAACCAGTATTATATGAAATGCTGAAAGGTATTCTTTATGAAGAGGAAGAAGAAGAAAAAGGTAAAGATAAAAAATATGAACAACAAATACATATCTACCAACAAGTAAATCTAAAAATCAAGTGAATAAATAATCTGATGAACAGAATAAACTGGTGAATGTAATAGAATCAGGGGCATAGAAAGGGAGTGGACTGACAATTCTCGGCGGGGAAAGGGGTGTGGGGGTGCGGGAAGAGACTGGACAAAAATCGTACACCTATGGATGAGGAGGGGGGTGGTGGTAAGGGCAGAGGGTGGAGTGGGAACCGGGTGGAGGGGAGCTATGGGGGGAAAAAGAGGAACAACTGTAATAATCTGAACAATAAAGATTTTTTTTAAAAAAGAATTTAAAGTTTATTCAGTGATTTTTACAGTCCAGCGATATCCACCAATAAATATAAAGCCCTAGCCCTGAGCTAGACTGGCTCATTCCCATTGGTGGGGAGGGTTACTCATGAGTAGGGGCCAGTGGAGAATGAGAGCATTCAGGGTCACCCAGGTGCAGCTGGAGAGAGTGGAGCAGCGGCTGCTGGCTGAGAC